TTTGAAAAAACAAATTTCAATCTTCATGCTTTTAGTCAAAATATTTTATATTATGAAGCAAAAGTATAAATGAAGTATGTTTCGAAATAAAAATAATTAAAAAGAAGAAAACTCTCATCCACCATCTGAATTTTCTGATGATTATACTTTTGATAGAAATAAATAAGTCTCACAACACGACCAATAAAGAAAAACTATTTTAATAATATAAAATTTTTGCTTACTTTAATATATATTTTTTGGGAGATACAGTTAAATCTTTAATGGTAGCCACTATAATGGAAGATAGCTAAGCACAAACAGTATTGAAAAATATTTACAACCATTTTCAATTGTTTAAACATGTTGACAAAGTATGCATATCTACATATATTATAGTAATCCATTTAAATAAAGTTAGCATATATGTAAGTGCAGTTCTGATACATGCTTGTCAAAGTCATGGCACTAACTCTAAATGATGTTTTATGATCACTTACGAATTTGGCTTCCATAGTGGCTAATTCACCATACCGCTTATTTTTAACGTATACGGTACCGTTCATTTTTATTTATTCCCAACTTTCTGAATATCTTTTATACCTTTTTCAAAACCAAACATCGAATTTTAATGCAATGTTCTTAATTTATGCATCGATGTCTGAAGAGAAGTCATGGCTAAATTACTGATGTTTATAAAAGAACAAAGAAAAGAGGTTAGGTTATAAATGTCTTTCTATCAATGCAGAGTAACTGTTTTTAATTGCAATCCACTTAATGAAGGTAACTTTATGGGCATATGCATGCACTTGCTTTTCTTGCAAAATGTCAAAATATATCACAATGTCGAGAAAGTTTATTATATTAAGCACAATTGCAAAGATTTGTGTTATTGGAAAGTTTCCTTTTAGTCTATTAAGTCAATAAGAAATTTTATTAAAAGTCAATAGTGGGCTTTTGCTTATCACAATCACACCTTCCTTATGAGTTTCCCAATACAATAAACTAATGGATTAATATTTTATCATTTCATTTTCCTTTTCGTAACTGACGATATTAGCAAGGGTAGTTTTTGACTTTGAGGAAAGGTCCCAACTTAGAGAACACTTATAAAACTAAAGCTCGAGCCATGGAGTGGACGAATCGGTCCGAGTTTAGTTCATCGGCTCACACTTTCTATAAAACCAATTTACTTTTTTGGTAAACTGCAGTCAAACCATTCAATTTTATTCAAATACTTATCTTTGATATGGTATAAGTTGTAGTCATGCACTCTTACTAAACCAAAAACTATTCAAGTTATAGTGTTCAAATTGTTTCTAAATACAACTGGAAACTTTTTCCTTCTTCTATGTACACTTGGAATTTGAATAAAATAAAAAAGTAAGGAAGACTTCAGTTGGCATACAATTTTACATGTAACTGAATTTTGTAGAAAGAAAGATTCGATTAGTCTTTTTGGCGTGAATTAGTATTTAACTTTTCGCGAAGAGTTGAAGTTTAAGAATCTTGTGGATACTTAACAATATCATTTGCGCTAGGTGGTCCGGCTATGTATTATTAGTTTAACTAGGTGTTACCCGCGCGCATGCGCGGACAAGTGATTTATTAATATATTATCAACAAATTAAAACATAATATTTTGTTTACCCATTCATTTTTCANAAATANATAAATCAAATNGTATANGATAGTTTATACCATGTATCTTTAATCGCACCCATTTATTAGAAATATATAGTTTAAATATATTGATCGGTATTGATTGGAGATTAATTCTCAAAAAACATA